ACGGATAAGTCGTCGTGGAGACCGTTCAATCAGTCGGTCAGTGCGCAGGAAGGCAATGTGGAATGGACATTACATCCACTTCCACCGTTTCCTGCCTCTTGAGGAGAAAAAGAACCTAATTGGGTGCCTCACAAGCAGGGCAGGACGAATATGTTTGGAGGACACAATTGAGGAAGAACTCCGAAAGATGCGAAGGATTTTTATCCAGAATGACCATCCGGAACGCCTAGTTGATAGGACGATGCAAATGGAGAGCTAGAAAAAAACAGTATACATAACTTGGTCATTGAAAGGCGGCACGTTGGCAGAGATTGCGCGGAAAGCATTGTCAGACGCCATCAGCAAAACATTTTTACGAGCGGTTAATCTCCAGATGTTGTTCTAGCCCGGAACAGCGTTGTTTTTGCGGTTGAAAGACAAAGCACCCGATTCTACACCCTCATTCTGTGGGTACTCATTCACTTGTTCCTGTGGAAAAATGTACATCAGCCGCAAGACCAGGGGTTTGTTTGAACGTATCCTCGTTCAACACCCTGCGTGGTTGAACACCAGAGCAATTAAATCGCTCACTGGTCGTTTCACACATAGCTCAGTCCAATTCGATAGCAAACTTGTCCGGGGCTTTTCGTGCCCCTTTATAAGGTCCGGGGTGGACAATCACGACCAATAAAATGTCCATCCGGACCACAGCAAACGATGTTAGCATACACCTACACAACCCTGCTTTATGTGCTCAAAAACAATGTGTGCTCTTAAGCTGCCACGACTCACCCTTCACCCTATATCAGGCCACAGACCAGATGGAAACTTTGTTTGATTGACTATCCTTTGGAGTCTACGTTTCAGGCGCAAACCCCAGGTCATCTGACCAACCTGCACTCGGAAGCACCAGACTCGAGTTATGCTCTTGTTAAAGCTCATCAATGGTGCATATCCTCTGCCACATCCAGGGTTCGAACCCGCGCCTTTCCATTTGGAAGGCTTGTGTGTTAAAACTGCGCTACCCAGCTCCCATCCGAAAAGTGTGATATGGTATGAGTTTGAATCATTGTAAACGAGTTTGTTCACCAATCTGGGTTCTCTAATTGTGCTTAGTGGAAATAATCGGATATTGGTAATATTGATACAGCCAACTTGTTAACGGACTTGAATAATAACAGGTTGTCACTTGTATGGTAGTCAGCTCTTATGAGGGACTTCTGCACCGTCTCTTTTCGGGGGTCTAAGTGGAACAAGGGAAATACGAATCACATCCAGGGCTTGATGTTCGATCGGTTTCCCTCCTGGTGAGTCCCAAAGAGTTTGATAATTCAGCTGTACCGAGCTTCTTCCATTTCCACTTGCAAAGTAAACGCTGAATAAACGCTGATAAGTGCCACGAAAATCTGACAAGTTTCAACTGAAATAACCCAGGAATGAAATTCCCCCTTATAAATCCATCAACCCTTGAATTACTGTAGGATTTGCAGTTCCATTCAGTAAGAAAAAGAGAATTTTATACCATATTCACGATGATGGAGCAGGCTTTACTCCAAAACAATCAATGGAGATGACTTGGCAATCCAGGGAGACGGGAATGTCCATTAGCCCATTTGATACGTTTTTCAGTGACAGATATTTCTCGAAATCTGTTCGTAAATGACACTATGTTTACTCGTCATAGCCATGTGGAACATTATGTCACTACAAGAGACAGTGGGTAGAAGCAAGTGATTTTGATTCAAACAACTCTTTCTGTCTGGATTTTGACAAGGAAAAACACCATCTGAAGAGAATTGAATTCATTCAGTGGTAAAATTTTCTGATAAATTTCACTAGGCTGTCGAATGGATGGGCGACGTAAGGTAAGCAACATCCGCTTTCGGTCGACGTGAGGCGGGCATTTAGCTACCAACGAAGGTCGTCATGTGTAGGGATAAATGCAAATTACTGTGCAAACCATCTTGTCTAAAACCCTCATTTTAATACGATCCACGATGAAGCTCACAAGGCTTACAAAACGTGACTCTTGATAAGAAATTTTCCAAAGAAACTCAGTCTGGTATGCCTGCTGTTGCAAACCAATTAAGCCCATTGGAATTAGCTGCAATGAATCATGATAAAACTTATCCGGATGGAAGTGTCATCTACAGCACTTTGAACAACGCGAGTTCTGAGAAGACTACAGGTGTTGTGAAAATTCGAATGAAAAAGATTTTGCTTTGCGATGGGTTTTTTGTTCCTTATTTTCTTCATAATTTACCGAACAAACGTTGGTAATATAAAGTTGTGTACTATTTTGATGTTTATAACTAGCTTTAGCCCTGTTCTGTTTCGTGAAAAATGTGAATTTCCTTGGTCTTAGTCAACACGACAAGTTGACTGAGTTTGGTAAACGGTCCAATATAAATGTAGTGTAGTACACAAGGATCACAACTCCTCTGCCTGGAAGTTGTTCGTTGTTCGATCCGCAAAATAAAAACCAATTCCGCTGTGTCGGTTCAAGTGGTCACTCGCGCAATCACTGTCTCACACGCATGCACCGCTATTGACTGTCTATTGATTGATGGCTTGACCACTCTGGATCGCATGTACTGCTTGAGTTTGCCAAAGGAATATTCACTTGTTAGCTTGCCCGCTTACAAGCGAGTTAACTGATGTGGTGATAAACGGATCTGTTGCGTACTTAGCTCTCCGTTAATTCCGAACACAACAAACTGCATGAGCAAAAGGTTCAGTCACTGTTTCATCGGGAACCCACACTTACAATAATTGAACAGTAATATGGCTTCCAATAGCCTGCTCAATACAGTATTATTTAAAACTTTGGAGATCAAGTTTACCACAGATGGTTTTCTCCACTAAGGAATAAGTAATAATCACGCCAGGAACAGTTAATTTTGCTGAAGGTTCGGTTATATTAGTGTTGCACAGTAGGAAGAAAAAACACACCAAACGCACAACTGTATTATTTCATGGCTCAATAGAAATTTCGCTGTTCATAGCAGGGTGGTGGGGAAAAAGGTGATTATTTGAAATGCACGACACTGAAATCAGGTTCGTATGAGCTTCCGGGGCTATGTAATATGATAACAAACATGATCGCCACAAAACTGTTGATTATTATTGACCTTTGGCGATCATCTCCTTGCGAGAATCGAGACACCTAGTCCGTCACGTAAAGCTGCCAATTCATTCTATCAACACCCTGTTCCTTGACAGTGTTGCAACTTGTTCCCTAGGACAATTTCCATTGCAAAAAACGAGGATTGTTCCTTTCTGTCGACTCTATCAGCCAGCTGTGTCAGCCAGCTGTGTCAACCAGCTAAAGATGATCTTATTATTATGCCTGAAACAAATAAAAACATTTGCGAAGAGAATGCGATGCCAAAAATTGAAGAGGGGAGAAAGTACAGCTATTTGATGTCCACATCATTCGGAGTTCCCAACCGATTGACAACCAACAGTTCAATCACCAGGTTTTTCATCCCCGGCTGCCGTTCCCGAAAAATTCGCAACAGGCAATAATTGGTATCTTTGGGGGAAACAAATAAGAACCTTTCTCAAGAGTTTCCGAAACATGTGTTATTCCAACGTGATCTACGGTATAATCACGGCAGAGATATTCGACAGGGTGCTTAACTCAAAAAAACTGGGGAATGGGGTTCCTCCGGAGATATTTCGCGCTGTAGACAGCTAACTGATACACCGAAACTGGTAACGGAATGTTAGATGGGGAATTCCAAGCCCAGATCCAACATGTGGATGAGACCATCTTTACGTATGCGAGTAACATTTGTTACCTAACTGGACGAGGTTTTGCCGATGAATCCCTGAACAGTTTGTCCTCCTCTAGAGTTAAAATAAATTACTTACGTAATTACTGGAAGATTTGGAAACGTTCGTAGAATGAGCAGGAATACTTGAACGAAGGAACAAACAATCCCAAAAGTGTTTCGCAATTCAGGCACGCCACCGCTCAACGGCTGACGCAATCGACAATGAAGGGCATACCCCACAAAGAATCCTAGTGAACCTATACAACATCACCGTGCACGGGAAATCAAAACAGAAACACCTGGAGAACTTGGTGGCAGCCTCATAGAGAGTTGAACAATACGGCTTTAAGCTAAAGTCCACAAAATGCCGTTTCCCACAACCCTAGATGAGCTTTTCGGGATAAATAATCTCTTTTGCTGGAATTCATAATGACCCTGAAAAGATCGAACAGGTAGCAAAATGGTGCACTTCACAAAACTGTAGACGAGAAACGTTTTCTGGGAATGAGGTCGTACTTCCGCCCTTTCCCTGTACAATTTGCTCGTTTTGCCTCTCCTTTCAAAGCGCTGTAAGAGGAAAATAAACCGCTCCCGTTGAATGCGGCATGTGACATGACGTTTGCTGAAAGTCAGTAGATGTTTTACTCCGCGCCTGTACTAACACCACCAAACATGTCACCTTCTGCTGGTCAGTTCATCTTAGATATGAAAGCCAGTGGTTCGACGATTTGGACGGTATGGACACAAATCAGAGAAGGTGGAAGGGACCACGTATTAGCCTATGGAAGTCAATGCCTGAGTAAATCAGAACTTGATTACTACACGACGAGAAAGGAAATATTAGTACTAGGATTTTTCCTGAGACGATTAAGGCGTTATCTAATGGGAGACTTATAGTTATGAAGAGGATGGCATCAGTACTGGCTTTCGTTAGTGCTACTCGCCTCTCTGGTTGGGGTCAAAGGAACGTGGATTATAGTTGGTTAGACATTTTGAGGGATATGGGTCAGGATAGAAGTCAGTGGCTCGAATGCTTTGCTGTCTGCTCGTCAAACTCTCGTGCCAACCACTCACTAAAATGTCATTTCGACAAAACAAATACATGGCGACATCAAACAGTGAAATCGCAGCTGAAGGCTTTCAACGATCAAAATTCTAGTAAATGAAACCGCTTATTGACACTTTTTCCCATTGCTTACCGTGGTGGCATCCATAGTTTTACTAAACAGAAGCCACACTTTTATGGACAGGAATGGAAATACGACGCCCCAAAGACAGACGACCAAGTTGTGTCAACAATCGGAAAATGGTTGTCGTGGGGTATGTCTGCAACGTGTTGGGCATGCTGAAGCAAGCCAGCCAATCATCTCGTAGTCATATGCAGATAGCTAATATATATTAAAGAGAGTTTTTCAACAGGAAATCCTCCAGCCCTCTCTTGAAGACTGTTTATAAGATATGACCCCATAAACGCAACCAAACCCAGTGATACCTTCAAAATTCCACAAAGAGTGGCACGGGCTTTTCACCGCTTCAAAGAACAGAAGGAATATAAAATTATGAAAACGCATTTTGCACACGATTTGAGCTTAGATATGGCTCAGAACCTTTATATAAGTGAAGAAGCCTTTTTTCGCATCCATCTTGTAAAATACTATGTTGCAGTAAGACGGGGTCTGCAAAATGCTACCACATTTTGATAAAGAAAATAACTTCCAAAGGGCAATAACTATATCCAGCGAGAAGGTTTCCCAGTAAACTACCGTACTTCATTGTAATAAGGGACGAGTTGAAATAGGCTGCTTTGTTTTTCCGCCGCTCTGAAGCAAGCCCCATAAACCGAACAAAGGTAAACACCTGTTGTAATGGCGGATAAATTACACAAACTCGTCTCTAATTGGTTTAGCTATCGATTTACGTTCTGTCATGTACACCGATATTGAGGGGCTTCCAAACGCGTGACCTTTAGTGAGAAATTCACAGGGAAAATCGTCACAATGGCTTCACAGTCATAAATCTCTTTACACCGGTTGTTATGGTCTGCTTTGAATCATCACTGAGCTTGCTGGGGATCAGAATAAACGATGCAGAATTCATTGGGTTCACAATATAAATGTTTCCAGTGTGTCAGATTCGAATTTCTTCTTGGAAGACCACTTTATTGCCGAATACTGCTTCAGGTTATGCTTCCCATGAGAGTGTTCATCTTATAGCGATTGGTATATCAACGTAATTGGTCTATGCTTTTAGAATAGAAAAACCATTGACACCTTGATGGTTCTGTGGTCACAACTGTCCCCTTAAAGCTCCGATTTTATTATGATGGATAATTCATTTTCAATGCCGAAGAAACAATCTGTTGCATTTTCTCCTCAATGAGCTACGGAAATGAAGATAATGTACTTCGACGAGCACAGGCCAAAGGGTAATACGTCCGTGAAACGTTGTATTGAAAAGTGACATGGAACTTATTACTCCTTATTTTCCATTTTCCCTTCACACTGTCTCATGTTCGCCAAGTGAAAAATGGCAAATCCGTTAAAGTGTTCGTTCTATACTCTTCAAAGAGAAGAAAAATGACCCGGAATTTAATCGTGTTTAGTTTTCACCCAACGAAATTGTGCGCGGTTTAAACTTTTGTCTGGGTGCAGAATTTTCTGTAGGGATAGATGACCTCCAAAAGTCAACAAGTTCTTCCGAATAATGAAAATACCATTACTTTCTCTCAAGTCTTACAACAGAAAGCTTTTCGTACTTACAGTGTTTTACTGAAAATAAGATCCAATCATATAATTATTTCAGCCTAAAAAATTGGACTAGGGATTATTTTTGAGATGTCTGATTTTCCATGTTCATTGATAATCTACTTTTAGTTTTGACCAAAATTCTACATGCATTCAAATATAGTCATGTCATCATCTTTAATATCATCATGAATCTTCAAATCCCGCTTCCCAGCTTCAATTTCTCCTTGCTCAACTTCTTCTAGAACTATTCACCTGTCTTCCTCTTGTTCACGAATAAAGTTCACCTTAACCGAACATTCATTGTTTATGTAGCCTACTCGTGTTGTAGTGGTCTGATCACAGGATTTCTTCACGTGAACTACGCTTCAAACATTTTCCACGCTGGTTTCTCAGTCGTCTTTTGCAAATGTAGTCCTTCATTTCTATGACTAAATGGTTCTTAAACAGTTTATATACTGCAGTATGAAGCGATTAGAGATATGAAATAATTCCCGTGGGAATCATTGTTAAATCCATACTAATATCTGAGAAACTGTTCTCCTCGTCCTAAGCGCCGTGGGTAATGGCTGAATCCTAGAATAACAGACCTCGTTTATCCCCTGACAAACAAGATGCAGAATCAAGTCAAAACACTTTCTTATAACTGCTTATGGGAATGAGACACATTCAGATGAAAGAGCGTAAAAACCTGAAACACCTTCAAATTTGATCAGTTCAGACGTGAGGGTCTTGAATCTTATAAATGATGTGAAATCCGCTATGGGTGGAGAATATACAGGTTGATTCTTCATTATCTATAAGATTTAGGCTCATCATTCCTAGGCTCATTTCGACAAATAATCCCTAAATTTCTTCATCTGTCAAACTATAAGGAACAGTACTTCTGGAAGATGTCCACGGCCAATCCAAGGCTACCGAAAAAGGAAAGTGACCGTTGATGTTGGGAAGCGAACCCAGGACGTCATGATCAACGAATGAGACAATCTCTATAGATTCTATGGCATTGGTAGAATTTTATTGCTCAATAACACAGCGTAGTCGAGATCGTTGGTAGGTTGTCGACGTTTCGGTCACCACGGGTAACCTGTTTTCAAGACTGGGTTTACAACCGAATGAAACTGGTAACGTCGACAACCTACCAACGATCTCGACTACGCTGTGTTATTGAGCAATAAAATTCTACCATAACATTTCACATGGCGCATCGATTTTTCGATACATTCCGAACCGATTTCATTTCTAACACATTAATTCTACGGCATTGTTTTATTTCGGACAAGTGCTTCTCAGTGCCGAACGAGATATTAGATTTAGGCAGGTCAGCATGAATAGGAAAATCTGAAATCAAAACGGACAAAACAGAGAGATGTCAAACACTCGTGGTTGCAGAATTTGCAAAATATGCGGGCCCAGAGAACTATTTGAATCCCAATTCAGTAGAAGATAATCCTCGTATTTTCGTCGTCAGGATAATGTGTGCAAATCAGTCTATTCGGGGCATTCTTTAATTATATCATAATAAGAACAGTTTGCATGCATGGGGAAACCATATGAAACAATAAAAGCCTATGCATCCATAAAGTGGTGATTCCGGTATTCGATTCATCATTCCAGTAACTGTTTTCTAGTTAAAATCAACTAAGAATATTCTATTTACTGGGATACATGATACATCAGCCGGGAACGTGCTTGTCATATCACCGGCAGTTTACATTTCCTGCGTCAGGAGGGAAGAATCCACGTGGAATTCATATTGCAGAGGCGAATACTGAAGCAGCAGAACGATGCAAACATCAAGCCGATTAGACCAACCGGTCGTGAGACGCGGACCAAAGAACAGACGACGAATTTGTCAGAAGTATCCCCCAACAAACAAAAAGAGGAATTCGGACTAGCAGACAGAACGCAGCGGGATATTTTGCAACCAGGAAGATAGCTCAGGTGAGTAGCTACCGAACAAGCCTTCAACTGAAGCAATCGGATCAGCTGAACCTAAATAATGAGTAAGAGAATCAAACTAACGGCCACAGTGAACTGGCCAGAATGCAGCCAGAATACTCGGGCAGTCGGAGGATCAAAGCTGCTGTAGCTCGGTTTGGAGAACGGACCATATAAATGGTTACATATGTTCCACGAACTTGTCCTAATACGAGTGTCCTCACTCGTCTCGCCATCTTCGTTACTATATGGAGTAAAAGGGGCACGAGCAGGAAGGATAGGTATATGAACCTTGTCGTCCTTACTGTGACACAACATGATCCCATCACCAAATCGCCTAAAAACTATAGTGTAAGACAACAAGCTGTGCACAATGACATCCTTGTCATTTCGTGCAAGGTCAGACTGGTAGAGAATCATGATGGGCATCCTAGGTTCGTCCAACTAGTCTTTACCTTTTTTGTACTGTATTCTATTCGTAGATAATAAATTCTGTCTCTCTTGTTAGCCTACAGGCTTATCATTCATCTATATCAAAAATGAGCAAAACTTTGCTTGAGTGAGGTGCATTTCACTGTTTTCACTTGCATGCTGATACTTGCGTACGAATATGAGTACCAAACAGGTAACCAGCTATTTGACTTCGAACCAGCTCAGCAATGAGTTCCATGTGATAAAGCTTTCACTTCCGTGAAAAATAGAAGAAACGTTTATGTACGCTTAATGGAATAAGCAAAGCTATATGCCGAATTTTCCTTACCATGAAAGACTTGCAGAATATGCATAGCATTAGAGTACAGTTAAAAGTGTTCTCTAAGAAAATTTACACAATCGTCTAAAATTACGGTGGTAAGTCAAATGAGGTCTTTTACAAATGTTTTGGCAAATTATGGCTTATCCGTAAACTTAAGTATCACATTCTTGCGGTGCAAACGGACAATACTTACTCACACAAATGTCAAACGAGACCATATTTAGGCATTGTTTTTGTCCCCACTGTGATTGCATTTACTCATGGGCCTATTCAAACGCATTTTAATAGCACGTTACCATTTCCTGATCGTGGCAACAGTATCTGCGAGCAACAAACGTTCGTACTGGTACGAAAGAGGGCAACCTGAATAATTTGTACAGATCGAGACAGGACTCGAGATTTGAAAACGGAGAATAAACTGAGCTGGAGAGATTCGAATGGGAAACATGCTAAAACCTCGTTCCCTTGAAGTTTTGAGATTTTTTAACAAATAGGATGGAATTTCGACTTGATTATTTTTTTACTATGCTGTGAGCAGCTAATTTGCATGAAACGTTAGTAATTTTTGAAGTTCGCCCCAGAATACGTGGTAAATCAGGAAAAAAAATATTCAATTCGAATGAGTTCAACCACTGACTGACAAATGGTAACCAGTTTCTATTCCTGTATTCCTCAGTAATGTCTTGATGAAGAATCCCAAATCTGATACCGAAATTATTGGCTTCAAGAACTGGCGTAGGTCGCAGTTTAGGAGGAAGGTTTTCATTAGTTCGCATGTACTAATGGTGACATCTCGGCTGATGATGAAAAGTTTGTCCCCTGAATTCCAAGCTCACTAATCAGAGGTTGTTGAAGACGCGCAGGCATACGATTTCAGAATTCTCCGGGAACCTCACACTTCTATCCTGTTGAACAACAGTAATTCAGTGTCGGGTAACAATATGCGAAAATTCAACTCAAATCGGTCAACAAACAAAACTAGACTTGTGATCTCCGAATTCCGCTACAGATTCGCGGAAGTAAAATAAACCGAGTAGTGAAGAATATGTTACCAAAACGAAAGTGTACCACATGTCTCCGACACTGATACCAATTTAAACCATGAGCACCGACAAGTCAAATCAGAACGTTTCCAACATAAGCCTTACTTCCTGAATAGGCCCCAATGAGAAGCGTCATATACTGAGTGATCCGATAAGGCAGAAGTATGCTGACGACTATGGTCAGGTCACAACGGATAAGACAATTTAAAAGTGGCGTATTTTCAAATTGATTCGTCCAAAAAAATACTAAAATAGTAACGAGAAATAGGGAAGCTCGAGTCTCATTCGCAAAACGATTCGTATGAGAAAAACTGCCGTGGGGCTCGATTGAATTGTTTTGATCGTTTGATCGATAAATGAGGTCAGGAGTGAATAATCGATTAGAATGTATCGTTTGCACGTCTCATATATTGCAAGATGGACCCACGTAGGTTGCTCCGCAACTATACTGAAATTGATAAATCAGATTCGATTTGGTGTACAGAGGTGGACGTTGTTTCACCGACGGTGTGGGGATCTCAATCGTTCGATGAACAATTCTGAGGTCAGCTGCATAATATGTTCGGGCAAGTGCTGATCCAAGTGGTCGTTTGAGCAAGCAATTGATGTCATCACGTTTGAATGGAAGACAAATGGTGACTAGTAGTTTTTCTGCTCAACAATTCGTTTGTCTGATCACTTGAGGCTTGCTGTGCCTTTCGATAAATGCATCGGGATAAGCGTTTCTAGTCAAAGATTCTTTCAGCTGTCGTAGTTCGTTGTCAATCATGTCTTCTGTGCAGATATGTCATGCTGTTTGAAATAGTGTTCGGACCAGACCACGTTCATATTCCACAGACACAAAGCTGTCAAATTGCAAGCATTGGCCTGTCCAAGTTTCTTTCCGGTAAGAAGATCTAGCGATTGTTCCATCATCCTTCCTAGTCATTTTAATGTCGAGGAAGTGCAGTGTATGTTCGCGTTCTGCTTCCATCGTAAATCGTATATTCGGATGCAGGCGATCGAGTTCATCCATAATCCATGTTGTCTCTTCTAGACTTATTGTGATGACTAGAACATGATCAACGTATCGCTTGTAAAATTGTGAACGTTGGAGGATTTTGCTCGCCTTTTCCTCAAGATGAGCCATAAATATATGTGCCAGAATGGGACTCAATGGAGTTCCCATTGGGACACCGTCAATTTGTATGTAAGCCCGACCAAGGAAGGAGAACGATACGTTTGTTGTGCACAGTAGTAATTGTCTAACCAGAACTGATACTGGTATACCGATGCTCAGTTGGTTTTGCTCCACATGGTCACAGATGATACGTATGATTTCCCGACCGGGAACATTCGTAAACAGTGATTGGAAATCAAATGAAGCCATGTGTTTCCCTTTCACATTGATCTGGTCCAAAAGCTTTACTACTTCTGAACTGTCTTTCATAGTGTGTCTGACCATTGATTTATGAACTGGCTCGAGCAATTTCTCCAGCCATTTGGCCATTTCGTGTTGTGGTGAATTTGTCATAGATAGATTGATAGATAGATAGATAGATAGTAGTAGTAGCAGTAGTAGTAGTAGTAGTAGTAGTAGTAGTAGTAGTAATAGTAATAGTAGTAGTAGTAGTAGTAGTAGTAGTAGTAGTAGTAGTAGTAGTAGTAGTAGTAGTAGTAGTAGTAGTAGTAGTAGTAGTAGTAGTAGTAGTAGTAGTAGTAGTAGTAGTAGTAGTATTGGTCCAAGTGGCACTCCGGGTTTGTGTAGTTTCGGTAAACCATACAGTTGTGCAATTTGAGTTCCTTTTGGCTTCAGTAACTTTGAAGTGGTCAGGCACGATGTCGTGCTGACGTGCGATAAAAGTCAAGTGTTGTGTTCAGTATTCACTCTCCACTGTTGCTATCTAGAGTCAAGGCTGGTGTCGGGGCGCATCCCGGACCGGACAAAGCACACCACCGGAGGGACTGTGGGACAGATGACAACACCGCCACGAACCGGTATTGGGGGATTTGCATCCGAAGTAAAGGAAGACTTGAAGACAGTCTGCAGGATTTGGATCGTCTTTTTCTCTTTTTTTTGTCAGGGGGGAGGAGTGTTGTGAGTGTATATACTACTTATTAAGTAGTTGATTGCTGAAGGCGGAACTATCGTCATTCGTGGATTACCAAAGCCGCTATGCCCAAGAGACCGAACGCAAGAAGGTGAACAGCAACAGGCGAACCGCACAACTGCTTCTCCGTCGGATGGTGACTGTCTCCAAGTGAAGGGGAACGGTGACTTTCCAAACAAGCATGTTTGTAACGTTTGTTTTGTTTTGTCGATGTCCGAACGAGCTATTGGCAATAAACAACCTAGTCACCCAGGCACGTCTTGTAGATTATAACAGTAGTAGTAGTAGTAGTAGTAGTAGTATTGGTCCTAGTGGCACTCCGGGTTTGTGTAGTTTCGGTAAACCATACAGTTGTGCAATTTGAGTTCCTTTTGGCTTCAGATGGTTAGCTGTGCTTTCATCAATGAAGTGTCCTTCTAGTAGAAACTGTACTTCTGTCGATATCTGTTGTTCTAGTTCTTTAGGGTCTTCACAGTCATCTTCGAGTACAAACTTGCTGGGATCATGACGATCACCAGCTGGGAGTTGGTACGGACCCGCTGGTGCACGCCGTCGCGCTCCGCTCACTCCTGGAACGTGCGTTGCCAACGCTAGATGAGGCGTCACGGGCAGACCTGGTGGCAGACCGATGTGTGGATAGTCTGCCGGAGCCCTTGCGTTGGATGGTACGCGTCGCCCGTGCCGGCCGTTCACTGAATTTGGTCCAGCTCGCGGACGTGGCTCGAGAACTGGCCATGCTTGACGTACCTGTGGTCAATACGGCCCATGTCGGAGATTCATGGAAGGACGTCGAACTTGTGGGGGAGAATTATGAACTGGACCTTTCGAACCTGGAGGACGAACCAGTGAAAGCCGAAAAGTTGGAAGAAACCGAGTTTTCTTGCTGTGGAAACGTGGAATCTATCTTATACGAACAGCCTGAAATCCCGAAGGATATTGAAGGAAGTATACCGGAAACATTTCTGCTGGAGACTTCAATCACTACTGATGAGGTGGAAGATGTCGGAAAACTGAACCGTACCTCTGAAAATATGGAAAACTGTAACCGGGATTGCTCTGAAAGTCAACCTGATGATGGTGGAAACGAAGACATGTCATTTGCTCCAGTCTCCATTGCATCGAAAGACAACGGGTCATGTCTTGCGCAATGTGAAACCAAGACGCCGTTCAAAGTGGATACAGAAGACGTTTACCCCTACCTGAGCAAGTGCCGGGTGAGGAAGTCCAACCTTATGCATCCCGAATGGAGACTGCTGGAAGTCATATCCAGGATGATAGGGGAATGACACAACGCATGGTGCTCAGTAACTTTGAAGTGGTCAGGCACGATGTCGTGCTGACGTGCGATAAAAGTCAAGTGTTGTGTTCAGTATTCACTCTCCACTGTTGCTATCTAGAGTCAAGGCTGGTGTCGGTGCGCATCCCGGACCGGACAAAGCACACCACCGGAGGGACTGTGGGACAGATGACAACACCGCCACGAACCGGTATTGGGGGATTTGCATCCGAAGTAAAGGAAGACTTGAAGACAGTCTGCAGGATTTGGATCGTCTTTTTCTCTTTTTTTTGTCAGGGGGGAGGAGTGTTGTGAGTGTATATACTACTTATTAAGTAGTTGATTGCTGAAGGCGGAACTATCGTCATTCGTGGATTTCCAAAGCCGCTATGCCCAAGAGACCGAACGCAAGAAGGTGAACAGCAACAGGCGAACCGCACAACTGCTTCTCCGTCGGAGGGTGACTGTCTCCAAGTGAAGGGGAACGGTGACTTTCCAAACAAGCATGTTTGTAACGTTTGTTTTGTTTTGTCGATGTCCGAACGAGCTATTGACAATAAACAACCTAGTCACCCAGGCACGTCTTGTAGATTATAACAGTAGTAGTAGTAGTAGTAGTAGTAGTATTGGTCCAAGTGGCACTCCGGGTTTGTGTAGTTTCGGTAAACCATACAGTTGTGCAATTTGAGTTCCTTTTGGCTTCAGATGGTGAGCTGTGCTTTCATCGATGAAGTGTCCTTCTAGTAGAAACTCTACTTCTGTCGATATCTGTTGTTCTAGTTCTTTAGGCTCTTCACAGTCATCTTCGAGTACAAACTTGCTGGAATCATGAAGAACACTTTCCATCTTCTTCTCATAATCATTCCGATCGATCAGCATTGCTCCGGACCCCTTGTTTGGGGCGTAAAACTAACAAATCAGGTCGCAACTGTAGCTCTTCAATGGCGGATGTGAATGTGCTCAGCGTTGCTTTGAACCAAGTCTCCGCATCGTTTCAAGTTGGTTTGACTATTTGTAGTTGTTCGAATGGATATTCGAAGTGCGCCTGTCTTCATGCTGTGTAATTTACTCGGTGGTATGCACAAACGTAGACCAAACGAAAGAGCCTGTAGTTGAAGTTCATTCGTGCAACCGATGACAAATTGATCACAAACTTTTCTCGTTGTTTCGGAAAATTTGGTTCGGCTAACTTGTGAACGATGGAATTGTGAAGCTTGTTAAATGTACAAAGTTTGGCTTTTCGTATGATTTCCATGCACAAATTGGTAAATTTGATTCGGCTAACGAGGCTCAGTTCGTCAAGAATTATTGATCATTCGATGCACTTGGTCTGAAGGGTCGTTAGATTTTCTTTATAATCATCAATCTGACATCACATCAAACGTCTCAAATTCCTGGTAGAGGCACATATCTTATTCCTCCGTAAGCGTTTGCAAAACGTAATCGGGTATCTGTTGCAACGGACACACTTTGTTCCAGAAAATTAATACAAACTCGAATCGTGGCAATTTTACATATCAATCTGACTAGGTCATCGAGAGACCTAATGGTTGATTTCGGGAGACGAGATCTGAGGAAATTTAGGCATGCTTTTCCCGAAATAATCTTGAAAATAAAAGCCACAGTTGCAACATTGCACGATTCATGTCCGGGACGATTTCGCTGCATCTCAACATGGTGCACACTGCACAACCATACTGTTTATATAAGTTCATGTAAAACCATAATTTTCGATAAATATAGGAGAAATTTCAATAGTCAAGTTACGTCACCATGGTAAAGACACATGAACAAAGAACTGTTTCTGTTGACACAATATTAGGTTTCCATCAATGTATGGCAGCCGTTTGAACAAACCTCAAAAGCCTGGTATTCTTTGCCACGTAAATGACCCGAAACGCAGTACTTCGGTCAGCTGGATGTTGCGTCATCAGAAGATGACGAGCGACGGCCGACGACGGGATCTTATGGTTTCGAACGTTGTCATTGTGCCTTTGATCTGACCCTGATTGCATCACAAAACGTTGTACCCATTTTGGAATATGTTCAATCACTCGGTATTTCTGTCTTGTTTTTCATGAATACGTCTAACATAAGACGTTCCCACCTTGCCTCATGGGTGATGGTTTATCAATTGTTTCCTCAGATCTTTTTTCAGCATTCGAATATCTATTCGAACAACTACAAATAGTCAAACCAACTTGAACAGATGCGGAGACTTCGTTCAAAGCAAAGCTGAGCACATTCACATCCGCCATTGAAGAGCTACAGTTGCGACCTGATTTGTTAGTTTTACGCCTTAACAAGGGGTCCGGAGCAGTGCTGATCGATCGGAATGATTATGAGAAGAGGATGGAAAGTGTTCTTCATGATTCCAGCAAGTTTGTACTCGAAGATGACTGTGAAGACCCTAAAGAACTAGAACAACAGATATCGACAGAAGTACAGTTTCTACTAGAAAGACACTTCATCGATGGAAGCACAGCTCACCATCTGAAGCCAAAAGGAACTCAAATTGCACAACTGTATGGTTTACCGAAACTACACAAACCCGGAGTGCCACTTGGACCAATACTACTACTACTACTACTACTACTACTACTACTACTACTAATTATAATAATAATACTACTATTATCTTTCTATCTATCTATCTATCTATGACAAATTCACCACAACACGAATTGGCCAAATGGCTGGAGAAACTGCTCGAGCCAGTTCATAAATCAATGGTCAGACACACTATGAAAGACAGTTCAGAAGTAGTAAAGCTTTTGGACCAGATCACGCTTTGGTCGCCTTAGATTATGAAAGAATTTGGAGTTCTGAATGCAAGTAGTCGCCCTTAACTAGGTTCAGTTTTGAAGCGACCCTCGCCAAACAGTTAGCCTTGCAATTGCTCTGTCAATACTTTTGAAAGTGAGGGTTGATTGTAGCATAGGCTAGTGTTCTTCAACGGTCCGTCAGTGTAGCAAGGCAATCGAATGATATGTTTCGTCAAGTTCCACAAGAGAACGAACAAAATGGGGCAGTAAAACACATCATACTGTTCTCTAGTTTGGCATTTTTGAAACCACAGACCATTCCAAAATCCGTCCTATACAACTGTTTCTTACCTCACTTGATTCTCTAGTGAATATGAAGCTTTCTAAGGTGTCCGTCTGTATCTGCACGAAGATGCTGAAAGCAAAACCCCGCTGGATGGCCGACTTTAGGTAATTTATCCTTCGCTGAAAGGCCTAAAGGTTAACGTCCTAAAGCAGGTTATACAGCTTGCTACACAGAAATGCTGTGTGCATACCAAAAGAGTCGCATCCTCATTGCATAAACATTAATTAGTGACCAGTTGAGAATAGTTCACAGCTTTAAGCAAGTCATTATGGGAGTTATAACGGTTGTTGTGGGAGACCAGTGGAGAGACCAGTCACATGAAGGGCACTGGAAGCCGGACTAACTTCCTTCAGCTTATTACCCTTGTCTCTGCCACAAAATGTGACCATACACGGAAGGACGAATGTACTGCGCTAAGATATGTAATCTTTTACTTCAAGGTTGCTAGACCTGGGAAATGCCCTTTTTCCTCTGTCGTGAGGTATTGCGGGCACCATATCACAGCGGATACGTAATCTAACATTGCCTTCGTCATGTTACTTCGTGTTTTCATTTTTAGTCATCTTAAATGCCGTGCCGATACAATATGCTTTATCGGGCCTAAAGCTTGAAGCATTGAAAGTAAGCCTGTTTGTTAATTGACGTTCTAATATACGTTAGACTACGACTTCAAAGAAGACTGCCACCTTTTTAGTTTCTTCCCAGGGATTACCTATAAGCTTCCCTCACTACTTATAACCCTATTTTCCAGGATGTTCATCTTTCCAACGGAAGGGACAGATTCCATGAACATAACAGTTGACGGTATATTTAGTGGTTGCAGATGACCACTTTGAAATCGGGAATGGATTAGTCATATACCAGTCAGGAATTGTAACAAGTGTTATCTACCTTGGAATATGAACACGGGTAACATCTTTCAGGACAGCCACGAGCTAAAGATTCCAAATACGTAGTACAAACTTTGCACCGCATTGATTGAGGGCTTGAATTTAGAGTTTCTTTTTCCAAGTCTTTAGCACGACGACCTTGCTCAAACAAAACTCAGAACGTGTGGATATACCCTAGGGAATAAATATTTCGATTACTGATAGGTGCGTATCCTTTCTCATTTAAGGAGAACTTATTCAGCATGGAAAGACAAACAGACTAATTTACAATTTGTCCTGCAGGTTCACAACAGTTTAACATTTATAAAATAAATCATTTTTACTTTAGGGAAATTGCGCTCGGGTTTATGAACATACCTCTTGGAATATGACTGTTTAGCTCTAAACCGAGGACCAGAAAGAGAACAGCAACTGACATGTTTGCTCAGCAAGTTTGAAACTGACAAGAAGGATGATAATGTTATTAAATTTGTTTTGCCTAATATATTCCGCTATAACGAGCGTATCCAATAGAATCGTGTGTGCGAATAATCACGTGAACGGTAACGGAACGAATGATGTTTGCCGGTAGATCGTCCAACGACACACTCCGTTCAAAATGACCCAGGAAAGTGCAGTTCCTCTGCCGTAGATTTATGTAATTTTCCCCTTCGTTTTTCAAGCTTTCATAGTAAACACTTGTACACACCCACACCCGTACTACCGAACGAATAGCATCGGACTGTTCAACCCACTGCTCGGGTCATTGTGATTAATCCATCAAGTACTGAACAACTCCTTTCGCCCAAATCAATTGTTTTGATTTCTGCGCTCTCATCGAATCATTCAAACTAATAAATTTTCCATTTATTTGAAGTATTGGAAAACTCTGTCTAGGATACCAGGAATCATTTCTATCACAACCTCAATGAAAATTTCTATTGATTCATGAAAACTC